AGAAAAACAAGGGGTTGATATAGGATGGTTTTCAAAATTGCAAATACAATCAAGATATGAAAAAGATGAAAGGGAGTATGAGTATTTTAACTTAGGAAGTTCGGAGTTGGATAAGATACTTATGAGAATGGAAGAAAGAATAATCAAGAAACTATATAGCTACCTATTAAGAACTATTCTAGAAGAAGAAGTGGTTAAAGATACAATGTTAACTTGGGCAAAGAATTTTGGCTACACAATTAAACTAGAAAAGTTGCAACAACTATGGGAAAGGAATTATAAATTAACCATGCCAAGAGCTTACAAAGAAAACTTATACAAAATGTTTTACAGATGGCACATGACACCGGGGAAATTAGCAAAGATGTTTAAAGACAAGTGAGCGAAATGTTGGAAATGTCAACAAGCAATAGGTTCATACTATCATTGTAGTGGACATGTGCAGAAGCAAGGAAATATTGGACTAAAATAAGAGTATGGTTAAAGAAAATGTTATAACAAGAAATAGAATTTAGACCAGAGATTGATAGATACTAGTTATCCAATTTATAAAATGTGGGGGGTTGGCCAGAAATATTTAATCTGAAATCTCTTCCCTCTGAAATGGGTCTCTGCCTGAAGGACTGGGATACCAAATTCCTTTCCATGTTTCCTTGCGAAAGCAACTTGAATAGACATGCTAATGTGCATAGAATGGATGAAATGCAAACTGGATTTAATATATTTGCCTGTAAATGCTACAAGATTTGTGTTTCTCTGTAAGAAACTAATACGGCTACCCTTCCGGGAACTGGATAGATGTGATATCTTATACTTTTTTAAAAGGAAAACTATCCCCTGAAGATAGTAAATAAAATGAATTGCTTATCATTATTTCCAGTGAAATGGCATACACTTGTCTAATTTTAACTCTTCATCCTTTCTGTCTCTTTAGGAAATAAAACTCGGGAAGGTGTGGTGCAAGGTGTGACCTCAGGTAATGTTTATTGCTATTTCTCTTCTCCCTCAACCTTAATCCTGAGTGGGCAGTTGTATTAAAAAAATGACAAGCCAATAAAATAGTATATTGTTAAAATCTTTCCCATAACTGAAGCTGGACAAAGTGTTCCATCTACTTCTCACCTGTTGGCAGAACTGGCTAAAAAGACTGGCTAAGATACAGTGAGTGTGCAACTTGATTCAGTTTGGCAGACACCCCAGGCTTAATATCTCTTGTCAAAGGATTAACTTCAAATTGGGCAGAATTAGGACACATTTTTGAGGGGAAATTTCAGGAATTTTAAGAGATGGAATAGCTGCTTTAAATTACACCAAATCTTCAGGCACTCATTTTATAGCACATTTATAATTCCAAAAATGCAAAAAAAAAATATGCAAAAAAACCCCATCCAAACCTTTTGAATCTAACCCAAAACTACGCCACCACCCCAAGTTTCACTCACTTGGGGCAAAGTTTTCACTTGAAACATCCTGCCTTCCTGCTAACAGGCCAAGTGGACTTGAACTGGAGAGCAAAATAAATGGCTTGCTTAAAACGAGGCAGAGTGTACGCTGAAACAGCATAGTCCAGAAAAGACATATGTGCTGCAGGAAGGACTTAATAGTGATAGCTTTTCTTCCATGGTTTTATACATATGCTTCTGCTTCTATCCATCTATGATGAATAGACTGTATCATTGTATTGTAATTGTACATTTCTACAGTACTGCCAAATTATATTACAAGTCAACATCTTTCTTTAGCCAAGTTGTGAAAGGCCACACATTGTGCATCCAGTATAATGAGCTAATTGTATGGTCTCGTAAGACTTAGAGCTTTTTTCTTTCTGTCTTTTGGTTTTCTTAGTTGCTGAGAAGACAAAGGAGCAGGCATCACATCTGGGTGGAGCTGTCTTCTCAGGAGCTGGCAATATTGCAGCTGCCACAGGACTGGTCAAGAAAGAAGACTTTCCCACTGATGTGAAAGTAGGTATCCTGTACCCTTCGGGTGGCTATAAGAGCTGTTAAGAATCAATCTAGGGCAGACGAATTTCAAAACTACCATAGAAAAAAAGCATAGCTGATCTCCAATAGATCTGAGTGATATTTGATATTGATGTAAGATCTTTTGTTAATTTAATTCCCCAAAATTGAAGGTTTGCTATGTTATGATTTTAGGCTGCATTCTTATTTTGGGATGAGGACCTGTTAGGATGAGCAGGAAAAAAATGCAATGGCATTCCAATAATTTTGCATGACAGGATATCTCATGCTTTGGATGAGGACCTATAACCATGGTATGCAGCAATGGGAATGCATGTGTACAAGAACAAGTGTTTTTGCATATATCAGTTGTGCAGTAACATATTAACACAATATGTGTGAAAATCTGTATCCCATCATTTGTGCATATTGTTAAAGGTGGTGATATTAGCTTATCTCAGCATCACATGCTGATGATGGGGTTTTTTATGCTTCATTTTTATAACTTATTTGATGAATGTATACATTTGGGCTGGCATGTGCTCAGAAGCACAACTTCGTGCATCTTGAGGCTGAGAAAACCAAACCGTATTACAGAAATTGTCTGGCTGCTGCGGGACTGCCAATCTGAGAAAAAACTCTCAAATCTTGCAGCTGAGCTGCCAGTGAACCATTTGCTTCCAGCTTAGCTTAAAATAGCAACAGCTGAAGATGAAATGAGGCCAGTGCATTCAGGCAGGAAGAGGCACGCTGCTCTACGCAGCAAGAGGGGAAGGAGCCTATGAAGAGTGATGCCAGTCTGCCAATCACAGGGCTCTTCCCAACAGTCATGTTGATGCTTTCTTTCCATCTTTGAGATGGGAAGAAACAATGTCATTAAAAAAATTGTGGACCCACAAGCCTACCTGTTACCACAGCTCTGGAATGAGACTGTTATTTCTGCTTTCACAGGAAGCAATGAGGGTTACTTTCAGGATAACAATTGCTTAGCCGTGAGGGATAGAGAAGCTGGCAGGCAAAGGAGGATGACGTGGAGAGGGCAAGAGAGGCTGAAAACAGTGCGTGGGAGGTGCAGCAGCTGTTTTTAAGTTACCTTATTGAACAGACAGTGGCAAGGTGAGGGCTGTAGCTTTCCAGATCATCTATGAACACTTGAGGTAACACAGAAATGAATGCAGCTTTTTATAGATTTGTAAACAAACAAAAAATTGTGCCATTCAATAAAACCAGGGATTGTCTGGAAAAGTCAAAAACAATTGACTTTTTCTCCTATAACTGGTGCTTTACATATGCAAAGAGCTTACAAATGGGAATACTGGCTTCATAGAAGAACTGCACTTGATCATTCACAAGACCAATATTTTCTTGATCTGAATTGCACATGTACACAACAAGAGCTATCTCGTTGGCTGCTACAATATAAGAGAAATGGCCTTGAAGGCATGAAGCACAGTAGCCAGACAGAGAGGGTGACCCTGCAATAATCCAACTGGAGCTCAGCAGATTGTTTATTTCTAATGAATTTCTTCTGTGCAATGGGAATCTCTGCATAGAAGTCTTTTACCATGTTAATTGGAAAACACTCCTAACGAGCTGGAGCAGCTTGTCTCTCTATGAGAGGGAGTGGAAAACTTCCCCTCACAACAAATTGTTGGGCATTCATATACAGTATAGACGAACCCATAGAACTAATGTTTGAAAGCGGGCGGGGGGGAACCTCTGGCCCATATGCCAAGCATGATTTTATATACTTTGGTCATGTGTTTTGTCACTGCTATTTCTCTAAATAATCCTAAATATTCTAGCCTTTCATCACAAAGAGAGCATTTGAGTCCCCTGATCATTGTGGTTGACATCTTCAGTGCTTTTTAAGCTTTCTCTCTGTGTTTTAAAAGTGCAACTAGAATGGTCTATAATATTCAATATGTGACTGAACCATATAAGATTATTAAAATGTTGAAATATATTTTCAGTTCATTTCCCACTGATCCCTACCATAGAATTTGCCCTTTTCACAGCTCCTGCACATCTTCCTTGAACTAGAGCCCATACTGTTTGTTTGTTTTTTTGTTTAGTTCACATAGGTTATGTGAAATTTGCAATGGCTTGTCCACGTATGTAAATCACTTTATATCTAACAGTATTTACTACTTGGTTAACCAAATGCATAGTTTAAAAAGATCCTTCAGGAACTGTTTTCAAGTCATTTTTCGTTTTTATCCACCACTTATCTGAAAATTTAGTCTGTTCCCTGCTCTACTACTAAATAAAGATAATTTAGGAACAAGTTAAACCAGCATTGATTTTAATTCAGATCCTTGAAGGACTCCAGTTGAAAAAAAATGATCATTTATTCCTACACTCACCCCATTCCCATTAAATGCACCCTTTGATGAGGAACTATAGTGTTGATAGGATTACTTCCATGTACCCACTGGCACTTTAAACAAAACTCTAAAACATCAACGAAGCACAATTTACCTGTGTAGAATCCATGCTAATTTTTTTTCAGCAGGGCTCAGTTGTTTTTTTTCTTTTATTACCCTTCCTGCCCATGGTTCAGGAAATTAATAAAGCTTAATTGCATAATAAAGATATCAGTTCTATAACTTTTTTTTAGCAAAAACAAATGCAAAGCATTCATTCATTCATTCCAGATTCATGCAATCTTATATCTTCCTTGAACATCCCAGTGAAAAGAAGGATGTGACTGGCTAACAATGCCAATTCATAAGATAAGTGGAATACCTGCTGATTACTATTAACTCTGCTCTAAATGATCTTCCATCATACAATAACATATAGAACTACAGAGTACATCTATCAAACAATGGCTGGGTTTGCATAACTTGTTAAGCTGTGTGATCGGCTAACTTGTGAATTAGATACTGTAAATCCAACCAGGGATGTTAATGTATAATTCATGTAGGAATCTAAACATTTCCAGCAAACCATTGTTAACCATATTTGGTATGTTGTGCAAATACAGCCATTACTTTCCCGGTGTCATTATTCCTCATTACCTAGTCTTTTAGTGGCTAAGTATTTTTAAAACATTCCTGTAAAATATATGTTGTCTATGAAATTTTCATGAGAGTGTAGCTTATGGGAAAAGAGGCAATCCAGGAGTGGGTACTGTGAGAAGCAAGAGTTTCAAAAAGACTGATTATAACTTTGCCTGGGCATTTACTCTTATGGTTTTAAAGATTATGTTTTTGCCCCAATGTAGCAATGAAAAATACCTTTCTGAAATCCACATGATGCTTGTTCCTAAATAATTTGCCAATTATTTAGACTTGATAAGTTTATTTTTTATAGAAACCTTCAGAGGACGTATTGGAAATGCTCTGGCAGAAATAAGTAATATTGGCTGTCATTTTTCATTTGTAGCCTGAAGAGGTTGGTCAGGAAGCAGTGGAGGAGCCACTGATAGAGCCACTGTTAGAACCCGAGAGTGAGAATTATGAAGAGGCACCGCAGGTGAGTGAAGCAGAATTAGGGCAAACTGATTACAAAATGGGAATGAGAAATTCTGGGGAATAAAGGAGTTTAGCATTCTATGTCCCCACTCCCTGAGTCCTGCTGTCTACTTCATCATGGCAGTGGGACTTCCTGGGAGATTTGAATCAGGAACGCTGGGTGTGTATGCTAAGAGTATATTATCCAAATAGAGTATGAAGATCATCCGAAAGCTAAAGCAAGCGGGCACCTATGTCGGGCAGAAGCAATATAGGAAGTTACTGGAAGCAGTAATAATAATCATTTCATAAAGTGCAGGAGAAGGCACTGGTAAACCACTCCTGTGTTTTACCAAGAAAATCACATGTGTTGACAAGATAAAATGACTGATGATATACCAGACTGATTAGATGTACTCAACTCACTACTGAAGAAGGGCTGAAGCTCTTTTTGGAGTACTAACAATGTTTTTGATGTGGATTAAAGGTTTCCAGGCATTTAGTTGCTGATACTGCCATAAAGAGAGGGGTGAGAGGAACCCAAAGCTACAAAGACAGAATTACAGTGGGAACATGGCATATATGAAACATAAACATGGAAAAGTTGAACAGTGAAAGATGAAATTAATTAACAGTGACATCTTAGATATCACAAAACTGAAACAGAGTGGAATTGGGAACTTTCAATCAGTACATCATGTTTACTATTTGGGACATGAAAAAAAGGTATTGCTTTCATAATTATGAAGGATATAGCAGAGACAGTATTGAGGTATAATGAGTAAATGATCAAATAATATAAAGTAGACTTTATGAACAACTCTTCAATGTGATGATTCTCCAAGTTTATGTTCCAACGATTGAGGCAGAAAAAGAGAAGACTGATGAGTTTTATGGTCAAGTTGAATTTGAAATCGATCGAACATGTAAACAAGATGTGCTTGTTTGACGGGAGACTGAAATGCCAAAATTTGAATCAGTAAGGAAAATGTGGCTGGAGTTAGAAAATAGAAATTAAGGAGATTGATTTACCAATTTCTGGCAATCCAATAATGTCTTTATTGGTAACACATTGTTTAAATATATTGATACCTAAATGCATGGAACAGATCATAAACTGCTCTTGTGCAAATTCCACAGGGAAGAGCAAAGCGAACCAGCTTCAACAATATGATTTTCAGCTCACCATTTTCAAGAACATTAGGAATTGCTATAAAAGGCAAAAAGCTAAATAAAACTTTAAGCCAAGAAAGTTATAAACAAATTAAGGGATGAGAGAAAATTGGAATATTAGGACTTTTATAATAAGGTTTTGGGAATAATTATATAAATAATTGTGGAGAAAATGGTTTTGTCTTTCCTGAGTTGTAATAGAAATTTGAGATGCTACAATTCCAGAAATTGAGACACTAGAGAGAACTAAAGTTTCCAGGCAGAAAAGGAAGAGGGGGGAAAAAGTGAAGGTTTGCTTTTAATGTTGGTTAGTACCGGAATTTATAAAATGACATTTTAAATAATCCAGATTTTTGAAGAGTGGGGTCAGATATTAGCACCTACAATGTCAGCAATGGTATCTGCTTCTAGGGACAGATGGTGTCTCAAAGATGTTAATAAAGGAATGGCAGAGGTAAAAGAAACCAGTGATGAGATATGTATAGGATAAAGAGGTTGGGAAAATTTGCCTGATGTAGAAGTATTAGAACTAGAAATACTGAAAAATAAAAAACAAACCCCACCCCAAAAAGCATGGATTATAAAACAGAGAAGAAACTGAAATGGAAACACAAATGATAAGCAAGACAATTTATGTGTTAGCATATAGATAAAGATGGGTTGGGAAAAATAGATATTTATTTCTAACCTTATGAGATGTCAGTGTTCCAACAAACAAATGAAAAATTATGATGTTTGTTTATACTTGTGGTAGAGATTAAAGAAAAAAGTAATTTCTTTAAATATATTTTTAATCTTTTTTTTCTTACATTTTCCTTTTCCTTCTCTTGAATCTCTCCTTCCATCTCTCTTTTTTCTCTTTTAGTTTGTATTGGCTTATTCTATTGTAATTAAATTTTTCAATAAAAATTACTTTTGAGAAATACAAATAACCGGTCACTTTACCCGCCATGTTTAAATGAAGAGGCTTTTGTAAGTAGGCAGTTTTTTTTAGTAAACAATTATAGTTGATAGGATAAAGACTTCAAGTAAAAAGTAGAAGAGTGGATCTGTAGGGCAAGCTTTTCTGCTATCTGATCTAGAGCTGGGTTATTTTGCCTTATGTCCTTCTGTCATCTAATACAATTAATGTTTTCCCTTTCTTTCCAGGAGGAATATCAGGAATATGAGCCAGAAGCATAATGGCCACAGCTGTTCCCGACACTTCCACCAGCAGCACAATAACAATAATTTCTTCTTCCCTATCCACATCCATCTCTCCAAAAGAAGGCCTTGATGCAGATGGTAATGGAGAGAACCCCCATACCCCATCCTGTCATGAGTTCTTCCTCCAATTCTGCTCCAAGAGACCTCATCAGGATCAGTGTTTTATGTATTGTGGTCTTTAGCGTTAAAGAGAAAGAATACTGAAGACAAACCCTGACCGCAGTGGTTTGTGTACATGTGTACATTTCAAAGCCCAGCCTTACTGCCTGTCTCCCTCTCAGTGCAGTAAGGCCAGACTTCATCTGTTTGTAAGCAGCATGTTGTATCTTCTCTGTTTTTAAACAGAGCATTCCATGTCCTTGACTGGGACCTTGCACTAGGCCCACTGTACATTTGCTTGCACGTGAATCATGCCAACTCCGTTCCATTATCATTGGAACTTTTTAAAAAAAATATCTGGTCATCAAAAAATGTCCTGGTCATGTAAAAGAGACTTCCTGATTTTAACGGTGCAGAAGTTGTGTCTATGTATCCTAAACAAAAGGAGCATCTTTCCTTTCCTGCCCCCACCGCTCTGTATATTTTGACTGTGGCATGGATATATATACCTCCCACTGTCGCTGTGTGTGCAATCCTGGGTTGCTGCTAGTGATGCGGCTACCCATCTCCATGAATAAAGCCAATTCTTGACGGTAGCTGTTTTTCTGCTTCCACGTAGTTCATAGGTCAAGAGGGGGAGCAGTTGTCCAGTGCTTTTCTGAGAACAAGGTAGTTTTCAATGGGCCAAGTGTCCACATTGGTGACCTTTCAAGGCTTTGAGAAGAGCATAACTGTAATGTCTAAGGGAAGTGGCTGATGCTGCTTCTTACAAACAATAATATAACTTCAGTGATTTTTTTTTCCAAATTAAAATATAAGCAATCAGTAACTAAAATGGGACATCCATTGGAAGTGCTGAACAAGCCCCTTCAGCAGGTATATTGTTCTCATCCTAGATGAATAAGCTAGAGGTCTTAAAATTGAACTGCCAATATTATATCCATCTCTATTGTGCAGTCATACTTGAACCAGAACTCTATTCTGCACATGATTTAAAAAAACAAACTGCTAACAGTAGAAAACATGTAGAGAAAATAGTCAAAGGACAGAAATACCTTTTCTGAAAGATGATAACATTTAGGGCTTAGAACCTGATAGAAAGAAAGTAAGGAATATAATTGTGCATGGTACAGAGAAAGTGATTTTTTTTTGTTCTCCTTCTCTTATAAAACTAGAACCTAGGCACTTCCATTGAAGCTGATTTGCAGGAAATTGAAGATAGGAACAACATACAATAATTTATAAAATTTGCTATCACAAGACACAGTGAGAGTAGTTTAGACTACTTTTTAACACAAATTCATTGAAATATCAATAGATACCATTAAGCCATAAAGCAGCTTCAGTCCCATAAGCCAGTGAGGGTAAACCTTTTCGGCACCTAGTGCCCGAATTGGAACGCACATGTGTGCCAGAGCGCTGTAAACCAGAAGACCAGCTGGCCACGGTGCGCATGCCCACAGAGAGGGTTCTGTGTGCCACCTCTGGCATGCATGCCAGAGGTTAGTCATCATGGCCATAAGCTATCACTAGGGAACCATTATCAGAGAAGGAAACTTATTTGCATTATTGTATTTATTGGCTTCTCAGAAGCATCTGATTGGTGATGGCTAGAGACAGAACGCTGTGCTAGATAAGCCATAGATCTGATCCAAGAGAGCTATTACAGTCTTAAGATATACATAACACACACACACACACACACACACACACACAAATACCCCTATTCAGCCTTAAGATATTAGGGCAACACTGTCTTCTGAGATAATAATTATTAGAAATTAATATAGTCCAGTGAATACCAAGCCTGCTTATAAGTAGTCTATCTAGTATCCAATTCTAAAACAGTTGCACTGCCATTAATTAATGCTATTCATGTGATTGATGAAGACAGTATGTAATAAATCTTGATTAAAAGGGCATTTTGCTTACTTTTAGTGGGAAAATCACGCTTCAGAAAAACTGCCACGGGGCAGAAAAATGTGTGCCTTCCACTTTGAAATGAGAGAAAATTTAAAGTCTTTTAAGCCACAAAATCTACTTTTGTGGCTTGAAATCCCTACCAATTTACCTACCCAATATCTGAATAGTTGCTAAAAGGTAAGAACAATATTGTAGCTGCTAATTTCCATGTTATTTTGTTAAGTTATAGATGGCTTAATAATTTGTGGAGTTTCTTATTACAACTTTTATTTTAAAATCAATACCAATCTTACATTGTCTCCCTTTCCTGTGATAAAGCTTTCTCGATAAACATTTCAGTCTCTTTCAATTTGTCTATTTGTCTTAGATACATACATATCAAGATTACAGACCTATATGTCATCCCTGAAACTCTTAGAATGGTGGTTCTGTTTGATATTTTAAGATACATTACTTTGTTTAGCAATTCTGAATTGCCCTTTTGAATCCTGTATGTTCTTTTGCATTTTTAACACATGCCTATAATTGTCAAGAAAAACATGTATTACCTGCTTAATTGATGACTTCACACACAATGACAGCATGCTATGCAATTTGTCTTGCACAACATTAGCCCCTACTTTAACGTCACATCTAAGACCAGCAATTAAACTACCAAATGAAATAGCCACAAGGTTGATTACTAAATGATTTCCTAGATTATCAACTTGAACTTTGATTTTCTAGCAACAAGAAAAAAATATTTTATTGAGAATGTGACCTATTAGAACCTATTTTCTTGCAATTTGTTAAAGCCCAAAGTAGACAGCAAAGAAAACAAAAGAATTGGAAAAATACGTTTTGTCAGTAAAAGTATTGATACAATGGATGAGATGGGAAATTTATGGCAGCAAAATGGCCCATGTAAGTTCTAATTTGAAGAAGCAGGTAGGGGACTGAATAAACTGCGAGGGTGATGCCTCAGTTATAAACCTGGTATTAGTTTACAACAATCCCAAAGGTTGCAAAACCAACAGTATTAACTAAATAATGTTGTAAAAGTTACCCCTCAGCGAATTGGAACTTAATATTAATCAATATATAAATAAAATGAAAATCTTAAAGAGGAATTGCTAGAGAAATTAAAAAAACGTTTTTATTTCCTTGTCCCCAATCTTTACATGTTTTTAACCATTAAAAGGGAAAATAATTTTAGAGCTGCATCAACAGAGAAGAGGCAATGGGTGACTATATACATGCACTTATTAAATTGAGAAGCTTTAGATCCTACTCTGAATTGCAGATATTTCCAATCATCACATGAGTATATGTAAATAAAGTTGTCATGACTACTATACAAAACTCTCAAATGAAACTTAGATTTCTCAAAGCCTGAATTGGCCTCAAGCTCCATTTCAGTCAAGTGGAAGTAAAAAACATTGGTCTTCATCTGTGGAAAAGGCTCAGTTGCTCCCATGTAGAATATATGCTTTTATGAAAATGGTAGTGAATGATAGAGAATTGGTGTGGAGGGGAAGGGAAGAACAGTATTCACCAAAGATTATCAACATCACCCATGATGATAAAGACTAACACATGAAAAAAGGTGAAGCAGTTCCCAAATGGGAATATACAGCTAGTCCTTATTTAGCAACCACAATTGAGGCCAATGCTTAGTTGTTAAGCAAAGCAGTTGCTAAGTGAAACTGCAACTGTACTTCTGACCGTTCTTCAGCTTTTCTTTGCTTTACAGACCTGCAAAGATCATAATCATAGAGTTTACTGGATTGTTGTAATGCATTCTACCTGGGACTGCCTTTGAAGAACATCCAGGAGCTTCAACTGGTGCAGAATGCAGTTGCCCAGACAGTTATGTGTGCCTCTAGAATGGCACATGTTAATCTCTGTTCTGCAAATTGCGCTGGTTACTAGTTTGCTTCTAGACGCAATTCAAGGTGCTGATTTTGACCTTTAAAGCTTGGCATGGGACCAAATTATCTGATGGAATATCTCTTCCTGGTTACATCTACATGCCCTATCACGTACAATAGAAAGGCATGCTCCCACCTAGTCCTGTCAGTGAAGGAGGTTCCATCTGACAGAACCCAGGAGATGTGCCTTTTTTATTGTAGTTCCTGCCCTCTGGAACACCATCCCCCCAGATGAGATTAGTCCATCCGTTAGTCATCCGTAAAACCTTGACAACATGATTTTTCCATTAACCTGAGAATCACATGGCGAGCCTGCAAACTGATTCAGTGATGCTAAATGACGGCTTTCCTCTTCCCATTTTGGGGTTCTTTTACATTGTTATTTTTAATTTTTTTGTAATTCATGTCTGATTTTCAAAGTAATATGGTTTGAATTATTATTTTCCTTGCAAGCCATCCAAAGTGTCTTTTTACCTTGGGTGGTCAACAAAGTTACTTTTTACCCAACATCGTAACTGTGAACAGTTGCTAAACAAGGACTGTCTGTATTAGGCATTCTGAAGTCAAAGGTGCTACACCCACAGCCTTTCTGCCCAACTCAGTGTTGATTTCAAATCTGAGAGTTTTGGCCTCTAATACTGTATTCATAACTGGACATATGAAGAATGGGAGCTGCAATTTAGCAGTGAGCTGGACAACAGTTGTTATCAAACTCCTAAAGAGAATGATAAAAGCTCATTCTTTTAACACGAGTCCTTAGTTTCTGCATTTAATTCAGGGTGTCATTTATTAATGTTAAACTGACTTTCCACATTGAATGAGAGATCCTACACTTTGGCATCAATTTTCTAATTTAAAATCACTTATAGCCAGTCCTTGACTTATGGCCACAATTGGAACCAGAATTCCCATCACTAACAAGGTAGTTATAGTCATGGTTGATTTTACTACATTTTTTGCCATGGTCATTAAGCAAATCACTGTGGTTCTCAAGTGAATCATCATTCAGTGAATCTGGTTTCCTCCATTGACTTTGCGTGTTGGAAACTGTCTGGGAAGGTCTCAAATGGCAATAATACGACCCTGGGACACTGCAACCATCTTAAGTACATGCTGGTTGCCAAGCACCAGAATTTTAATCAGGTGATCACAGGGGATGTTGTGATAGTTATAAGTGTAAGGACCACATAAGTCACTTTTTTCAGTGCTGTTGTACCTTTGAAAGTTGTTAAGCAAATGGCTGTAAGTTGTTGTAAGATGAATAGTTATACAGAAGCATAGCATGATAGCAGTCATGCCTTTAAATGCACAATATGTAAGATACCTTGTTCTATTCTAATACCAAGTTGGTGATCTCAGCATGGAAGATCCATGACAGCTGTTTTTTATCCTATAGCAGGTGAAGAAAAAAAATCACAATGCTGTCTGAAATAAAGTGCTGGTACTTTGCTGCACACACTTGGTGGCTGACAATCTGGAACAACAAATCATAACATGACTTATAACACTGAGCTTCAGTGTTATCAATATGCATTGTCAATACTGAAGACAGTGAAATGCCTTCACCATTTCATCTTGATGGAAGAAGTAAAGTCTACCCCCACTCTTCTAGCCTTCAGAAAATGTCTTAAAACTTGGCTATCTATGCTGGCTGGCATGGGGCCCTGAAGGAGGAAGATGTTGGCTGGAGATGGCTAGTATAGTAACAGAGAAGCTGCTGCTCTCTGCTCCAGATCCATGGTTTTTTAGTTTATTTTGATCTCTTGTTATTTCAATCATTTTTATATTTATATTTCTTTTTACTTCCATGTGTTTTATTATGTTTAAGCCACTGAGTGTTACCTTGCACAGCAAGGTGAGCAACATATACATTAGGTAGGTGGGTGGGCGGATAGGTAGGTAGGTAGGTAGGTAGGTAGGTAGGTAGGTAGGTAGGTAGGTAGGTAGATAGATAGATAGAT